TATATATATATATATATATATACACCAAAGTATAGGATTGGTATATATGGAATAAATTTCAATAACCCAAAAATACTATTCTTAAAAGATTGCTCAATACAGAGTAGAGGAAAATAATAATTATATATATATATATATATATATATATACATGAATTATTCACACAAAAACTAATGCAAAGGTTAATGATTTAAATGGCGAGACATCCATCATCGCAAACAATTCAAATAATATACAAAACCTCCGAATCCGTTATGAATGAAATGACCTTTGTTTATATAAATTTCTGCCGTATTAGTTCTTATTTTTACTACAAGCTTTCGTCTGTTCCTACAGACAACTTCAGGTATAGAATAGATGTTGTTCTTGTTTTTTCTCTTAGTAATAAGAGGACAACGAAAATATATGTATTGCTGTATCCGAAAATGCTATTGAAAAATGAGTTATTGTTTTTGGAACGCGCAGAAGCAACGCTGAGTTTGATTTTAAATTTTTAAAGGTTGTGCGTTCATATAAAATATGGTGATGAACAAATTTTTTACTGGTAATTTTTTCTGCCAAAGTGGCATGAACTATGTTGTTCAATAATTACAGTAATGTCGCACTTATTATCCAAATGTCGCACTTGGATCAGTTATTTAAATTACGATAAACGTGCAATCAATTTACAAATACATGAATTATTCACACAAAAACTACAGACATCTTCAGGTATAGAATAGATGTTGTTCTTGTTTTTTCTCTTAGTAATGTAGGAACAGACGAAAGCTTGTAGTAAAAATAAGAACTAATACAGCAGAAATTTATATAAACAAGGATCATTTCATTCATAACGGATACGGAGGTTTTTGTATATTATTTGAATTGTTTGCGATGATGGATGTCTCGCCATTTAAATCATTAACCTTTGCATTAGTTTTTGTGTGAATATTGAACAATATAGTTCATGCCACTTTGACAGAAAAATTTACCAGTAAAAAATTTGTTCATCACCATATTTTATATGAACGCACAACCTTTAAAAATTCAAAATCAAACTCAGCGTTGCTTCTGCGCGTTCCAAAAACAATAACTCATTTTCAATAGCATTTTCGGATACAACAATACATATATTTTCGTTGTCCTCTCATTACTAAGAGAAAAAACAAGAACAACATCTATTCTATACCTGAAGATGTCTGTAGGAACAGACGAAAGCTTGTAGTAAAAATAAGAACTAATACGGCAGAAATTTATATAAACAAAGGTCATTTCATTCATAACGGATTCGGAGGTTTTTGTATATTATTTGAATTGTTTGCGATGATGGATGTCTCGCCATTTAAATCATTAACCTTTGCATTAGTTTTTGTGTGAATAATTCATGTATTTGTAAATTGATTGCACGTTTATCGTATATATATATATATATATATATATATATATATGTGTGTGTGTGTGTGTGTGTGAGTGTGTGTGTGTATGTGCGTGCGTGTATGTGTATGTACGTGTGTGTGTATGTTTTTTTGAAGTGGGCACTGAGATCAACACCCAGCGGCGACAGTCCTTTCCCTGCTTAAACGTAATCTTCAGACCATGCGTTTAAGCCTGAAGATATATATATATGTAACGCTTGTTTGGAGTGAGGTCGCACCAAAAGGGTATATATATATATATATATATATATATATATATATATATATATATATATATATATATATATATATATTAAATACATCATATACACTACAATATACTGACTCCTGTATATATATATATATATATATATATATATATATATATATATATATATATATATATATATATATATATCAAAGTGTTAATCATACCTTGAATCAATTATCAATATTAATGCAATTATTGGCGAATAATAATATTGCTAATTGATTCAAGGTATGATTAACTCTTTGGAATATAAAATATATGCTGCCTATTTTATAATATATATATATATATATATATATATATATATATATGTATGTGTGTATGTGTGTGTGTGTGTGTGTGTATGTGTGGACATTGGGCTTGAGCGACAACAATCTGTTTCATGCTTCAAGACAATCTTCTGGCCATCTGAATATGGCCTTAACGTATGAAACAGACTTTCGCTGCTCAAACGAAAAAAAAAACTAACAACTCAACCACGTATACCCACTAAAAACAACGCTTATAATAATATGTATGTTTATGCATGTATCTCAGGACTCTTTTCATTTGTATAGAGACTTTCATCTTTGAACACTGCAAGGCCCTAACTTAATCCCGCCTCCCTTCTGTAAATATATTAAGTTATATAAAATATCGTTTTTCTCACATTAACTCTCTCTTTTGGGCTTTAATCTTTATACAAGGCTCCTTTTATAACTGATGGGATGCAACATTACGAAAAGATAACCCGCGCCACCCACTATAAAATTAACAAGGCTAGTGCGGAAATATTGCATAGGTCTGCTACTATTTGATCGCTAGTGAATGTCAACAGTTCACACTGGCGAGAAAAAAAACTCAACACGTAAAACATAATAATGCTAACTTAAATAATCAACAAGTATCGCGTTCATTTTTAAATGCTCTCAATGCTGAGTAGTCTTGCTAATGGAAGAACACGTTTTGGCGAATGCAAGCGGCAAAACATCTGAATTAAATTGAATGTACGCTCTGTATGCTGGTCGGTATAACGAATGTTTGTTTATTTGGCAAGATAAAGGTTAATGAGTGCATCATTTGAATAATCAGATTTCTTTCATAACTTTCAAATTTTTCTTCAATGATAACCACACGTGGAAGTATTCAGTATTTCATATGAAAGTACACGGCTTTATACTGTCGTTTAGTGCCTAGAATTAAACTCTTATTTTTCTGTCTATATTTCTGAGATGAAGTATTTACACCATTTACATTGTTTGGACAGTTGTCCTCATCTGTGTTGTCATATGCACGACTTTTTCGGCCTATACTGTCTCCTGTGGTATACACACATACACAAACACGTATAAATGTAAATGTGGACACTACAGTCAAACTTGAGCGACAACAATCTATTTCATGCTTCAAGACTATCTTCTGGCCATCTGAATATGACCTTGAAGCATTAAACAGACTGTCGCCGCTTTTTTTAAAAATTTTATTAAACAGTGAAATTAATAACAACCGGCATAGAGCGATAATTCTTACTAAGAAATATTTCCGCCGACAGGAATTGAACTTGCATCCCATCCAAAGGATGATATAGCCGAAACGTGCTCCAACCAGATTTGTAACACGAAATACTTTGACAGAAGGAGATGTAAATTACATATTTAAGATACGCACATTTATTGCAGGTACTTCTATGAATCTATATCCGTTAGATTCATTTTTGTTTTCGTATCCAGAAGGTAAAAAAAAACTCATTTTTTGAATGGATTATTTCATCTTATTATAAACGTTATTTTTAGTGTATGTTCGCGTTTCTAACTTTTTTTTTTTTAAATTTAATTTTATTTTATTAAACAGTAAATTTAACAAAAACCCGCTGAGAGTGAAAAGTCCTACTAAGAAAGATTATGCTTCCAACTCATTTTTAAATGGATTATTGGATACTACTTTACCTTGTAGTCTATTGCTGTTTCCGTAGTCTACGCTGTGAAATGCCATTTAGCGCGCGGTCTAGATTTCATGGCATAAATTTATTACCGGTGTTTTTACACTTTTGACCTAAGTTCTCCTGGCCGGTTAATATAAAATGACCTTTAGGTGCAGTCTAACTTTCATGTGATTCTCTTATTTTTAACCATTTAACTTGAGTACTAACCCTAACTCAAACCATACGCCGACCCTAATCATGTAGCACCAATGAATTCCATCATATTGATGACCATTAATGTACTAATTAGCCATTTTGGATTATTATGATTCTGATGATTATGTTTTATATGATTAAGTGTATGTCATCAATGATAAATCATTATTCAACATTATACAATTTGTTTTTATCATCCTTCAGTAGCGGGGATAAGCTGCACATTTAAAGTCTAAAAGTGCAGGTTGACTGCACTCTAAACTGTCAATGACCTGGTAGACCGCACGCTAAACTATCATCGATTATTGCTTCTTATTATAAACGTTATTTTTAGTGGACACACGTGTTTCGGTTGCTATCTCTATAGGTTTATTTTATTTTATTTTGAAAAAGATAAAAGTTATAAAAAGAAATAGGCTTGATCTGGCTTTTAGATAGGTTACGTGTAACGTAACTCATTAACAACGGATGGCGGAAATTTCCGTCATTGCATTTCTATGGCTCATCTATGGATAACAGATATTTCTACCACAAATAATAGTTTAAGAACCAATGAATAAGACGCAGGTGAGAACTGAACTCAGGTTAATCCGATTGCCATTTAGGAAAAATTGGAAGATTTTAACGTCTTTACCAGAGAAGCCATGCGACTCGTCCGAAAAAGCAGCCATATTCTAACATGATCAATGAAAAGGATGATGTCTTTAACAGAAAAAAAAAGTTGTGCTGATACTACGGGCAGTTGGGGTTCTGTGCCTGCAGCTGGTTGCGGTCTAATGTTTAGGGGAGGGGACATTTAGTAGAAACTCTTCTATCATATAGTATTTTTTGTCAGTGGGAAGAGTAAGTAAAAAAATACATTGTAATTATGAATGTAAACTATAAAAAGGTTAACTGTAAAAATGCAATTGATAACAACAGGCCTAAGTTTTTTGTTGGTTGTTTTGTTTTTGCTTAGCGTAATATCAAGAGTTATTTAATGCCGTAGTATAAATATTTTGAATTCAGTTTTATTTATTTATTGTTTTTAGATAATAATGGTTTTTAATGATACAATTTTTATTAATTAACCCATATCATGGAGGAGAAGAGGTGGGTTCATACTTTTCCAAAGGGTATTTGCGCGTAAGTGAATATAACTCACCTAGCTGGAATTAGAACTCGGCTCTCCGATTAACATTTCCCAGTCATTATCCATTACACCACCCGCACATACAAGCTTACAGCACCTGGTATTCCCAAGTGGTCACCCATCTAGGTACTGGCCAGGCCCGATGTTTCTTAACTTCGGTGATTGTACGTGATCCCATGATTTAGCCTTAAGCCTAGGCTGAGACGTCCTACTATATAAAAGTTGTGCCTGACAGGAATCGAACCTGTAACCCTTTTCCCTTCAAGTAAACCCCTTCTGTAGCCGAAACCAGTTTTGCCATTAATACATTGATAGAACAAAGCTTGATTACTATTCAAAGTACGTACGTCTATCTCGTTGGAACTTTTACGAATCTATATCTGCTAGCTTTATTTTCGTACCCGAAATGTAAACAACTTATTTTTTGAATGGATTTTTTATCTGATATTCTTTCTTATTAATGCTATTTTTTTTATTGGGTACACGCGTTTGAGTTGAGCAACTCCATTAAAAAACAAAAAAAAACAAACATAAACACGTATGTAGAGAGGAGTAGTAGTCATCCATGTAAATCGTTGCGGTTAAGACGAACGAAATATATACATCGAAGTGTCACGCATATGTATGAGTTGGCTCTGTGTGTTTAACGATAACAACAAGCAGCCGCGAACTGATCAAAATAATTAATCAATTCTGAATTCGGGCGATCTATCTCTTTATATACGTATGCTGCCGAGAAAGGAGATCCGTTTAGACATTTCCACTTGGCTGGTGATTGGTTCGAGAGGATGTGAGTCATAAGCTTTTTGGAAACAGATCTTGCTTCTGATTGGTTCGTCAGATTATGACGTCAAATGCTTGTTGGAAACAGAACTAGTTTCTGAGTGGTTTGTAGAAATATGACTTCATGGCCTAGTGATTACGATTTGTTAAAAAAAATCTATTTTGGCGGAGAAGTTAATGACTGCTCCGGTTGTGAACTGTTCAGAGTTGGTAAATTTGTGAATACCTCCAGTCGCGTGTAAAGATTTTAACATCAGGGCATTTAATGTTTAGTGGATTTCTAGAAAACCAAAAAAAAAAAAAGAAAAGAGATAATTTTTGGTCGGGACGTTGATGGTTATGACATTGACGTATGTTGGCTCCAGGAAACCAAAATCAAAGAAGGACTTAATATTAATATCGGAGTTAATAGCGCAAGTTAATAGCTTTAAAAACAGACAGTAAAAATTATGAAACTGGAAGATTAACATCGAAAGACATTGGAAAGTCTCAAAGAGGTTATCAGTTTTACAATTCATGACAGATACAAAGGAATATGAATGCATTCAGACTGAAAGGATAAATACCAAAATGCATAAAAAAATCCATATTAAGTGAAAGAAATACGTCAGACAACCATATTGGTTAAACAACGACAATTAAAGGACTATCAATAACATTATATCATTTCCCATGAATAATTTGATGAGATTAAAAGATCTACAGTACATTCATGAGATAGCAAAGAACAGAAAGGTTTGGAGAAGACTGATAAGAGATATTTACAAAGTTGCTGTAGATGAGAAGTCACAGTGATTTGCACTGTGCTGTCAAGTCAAAAGAGTTTGATAATGACGATGATGATCATCAGGATGATGATCATCATGACGACAACGATGATTAACGATGATTATGATGATGATCATCATGATCATGGCAATGAATTAACCAATGCTGAAAATAGCTCGAGTCTTCTGAAATCACTACAAATTCAGTAATGACATCATCAGGACAATTTCGATGGTTTCAATAATGTTGTAGCATACCTACAGACGATAATGGTTATGCTCCCATTTATATATATACAGTAGTAAATACTGTATGTTGGTCTCTAGTTGGAGATTCGTCTCCATCTGTGCTGGTCAAACTCTCTACCTCCGGGCAGAGAGGATCCCCAGACGAGACTATGTCGAAGGGCAGAGTCTCATCTCGGGAAACCGCTACCCGACCTCGTTTTATATTTTTGGCTGAACCTACGGGCTCGGATACTCCACATTAAATTCGGCCTTGTGCCACATCTGACCGCGTGGGGCGGTTGGTAGATATCTTGCAGTTGGAGATTCATTGTGGAATTCACTTGACTCACTTCTGGCAATTGACTACTACTTCTGCGCGACGCTGGCGACTCTTATATGTGTTGTTCGTGTCCTAAGTATTAAAGCATTATCGTTCATTACCAACCTTCGTGTGATTATTCTATTCGGTATCCGTCCCTAGGTTACAAATTTCTTCAGTTCTTTCAGGTTCTTTGCGAAGCTCTTCAGGACGGCACAAAGCCCATTTTTTTTTTAGCTCTTTTGCAAGATTTAGATATTTTTCTATCTTTTGCCTTCTTTTAATTTTACTCTGTAACATCGGCTGGAACAGCGAAAAATGACAATTTATTTTTCAACGATGAATAAAAAATATCAACATATTAAATAAGTAAATAAACAAAAGAAACGTTTTTATACTTGAACGTATTTTAACTTTAAGAGACACAATCTGGAACATGTATACCCGCTAAATATAACGTTTATAGCAATAAGAAATAATGTCGGACGAAGAAAAATTAATTAAATTAAAATTGCTTTGTTTACGTTCCAGGTACGAAAATAAAGGTAACAGATATAGACAGTGAAAGGTCCGAATATGAGATGTGTATTTCTTAAATAGGGTAATTGAATTTTTGTTTTGACATGATTGCCTTGGTAAGCCACACTTAAAAGTGGCATCCAGATAGAAAAAGGAATACAGGTTCTATTTTTAGTGTGAGGTAAAATTTCAGTTTTGGATTAATAACTAAACATTCTATCCCTGAGATCCTTGTATTATAACAAATTAAAAAAAAAGTACATACACGAAAATTCACTTCAGTCACTTTTCCCGCCGTCGTAATGTAGTTTCGCTATGTTTTTTCCTATAAATATTTTCATGGCAACTGTTCTGATAAGCTTTCTTCATTGGTATCTAGATTTTATGAATTTAAGCACAGTAATAAATTGGAGGCAAGGTCGGATAATTTTACAGTTGATGTAAATTCTATGCTAATAGTTTCTTCTCTCGCACTTCTTGCTTGTGGAACTATCTTCTGGGTTTTTGCTTTTCAGTCAACTTTGATCTGAAAAATTTTAATGCAATGTCAATCTGTCTTCGTAATTCCTGTTCTTTTATTGTTCTCTCTCCTTAATGTTTTTTTTTCTCATATTCTCTCATGATCAGTAACCCCCTGCTCGTTAGTGGCTTTATTGCCTTGCTTGGGGTGAAATTATTTAAAAGAAATAAGACAGTGGATTGACAAGGGTAACTCCCCACAACTGAGCCCAAATGCTGAGCTTCGTTAAAACACATTGACACTTCCAGCTGATACAATGTGTTCATAAATGTTTGGTCGAAATGTGCCCTGCGCTTGTTGGTAGAAAAATGCTGTTCTAATCCACGACAACACATTGCCGAATACAGCAAGAATAACACAGGAAAAAATATTTTGAACTCTACTGGTCTGTTCTTCCCCGACCGCCATGGTCACCTGACCTTGCACCAACGAATTGTTACCTTTTTTTGATCTCTGAAACATGTTCGTTGAAAACCGCTTCACATCAAACCTGCGAGATTTTACTCAAAATGTCTCACACAGTGCCTGATATATGGTAACAAGTCATTGTAAATAATGGTAAATATATAATTTAACTAAATGTAACTAGTTACACTATTTACATCATTTGGACTATTTTCCTCGTCTTTATTGCCATAGTCACAACGTTTCGGCCGTTGTACGCCCCGGCATTCTTTAGGTGATATACGTTGGCATTTCGAACTGAACGTCGTGGATATGGCAATAAAGATGAGGACAACAGTCCGACTGATGTATATAGTGTAAATAGTTACAATACCTCAAATAGGATTAATTGTAAATGTAAATTGTGGCTATGAACGTATATATCCGGCCCACAAGTTACATTAAAATCGTCTAAGCGTGATTTGGTTTAACACATAACTGAAATTTATGATATATATACATATTCTGAAAGGGGACATTTCAGGACTTTATATACGATTCGCGTGTTGATTGGACTCAAAAAATGAAATAGAGGAAAAAGCTATGCGATATAACATGGACTCTCCAGGGAGAGGAGAAAGAGAGAGAGAGAGAGAGAGAGAGAGAGAGAGAGAGACTATTCTAATACCGTAGTATCAGCCGCGTACGACTACCAATATTGGACACTAGCACATAGTAAGCTCCGCTTACACTTACACTATCTTTGTAACCTTTTTGTTTAATATATCTTTCTTACGTCTAATCCGTGTTCCGTGTTTTCCTTCCGTGGTCCCAACTTTGGGCCCACATCAGTGGCGACGAAGAATTTCACGCCGAAACCTCAATAAACCAGTCCCACATCAGTGGCGACGAAGAATCGAGAAACGCATTCACGCCGAAAACCTCAATACCTTACCAGTCCCACATCAGTGGCGACAGAAAAATTCGAGAATTTCGTTTTTACCATATCAATAGCGACAGAGTACTCGAAAAATACACAGAAACTCCACGCGTTCCCACAGCAGTGTTGAACGAGAAATTAAGCTGGTATTACTACGTCAGCGATTTAAACGCAACACCCAGCGTCTACATATATAAAAAAATATTCTGATACCAAACATCAGTGACGAACGAGCGATTCGACATCTACGGAATATTAAAGTCGGTCCAAATAACATAACGAGAACGATTTCTTACACACACACACAGGAAAAAAACCCAGTTTGTTCATAAAACAAACTGACAACACAAGAGCCGAAGTACTACTTACGACTCTAGTTTTCGAAAAAAACTATCTAAAAATTTTTTTTAGGTAACTGAGTTGAATCTCGTGCATAAAATTATTCTCCCCTCAAATTCACTGAGGCGAGTTTTCTCTTTTTTGTACCTCTATAAAAAAAAACATAATAAGTGTGGTGAAAATTTATACAATTACGTTAAAATTAACGGAACCACGGAATCTCGAAAAAGCTAAACACATAATTAGTTTAGTTTAACTAATTGTCTGTCCATATTTTTTTTTGTAAAAAAAAAAAATCTATATCAAGATTTTTTGTGTACCTCCCTTGGTACACGGGTTTCAAAGCAACAAAAAATCGCTGTCATTTTGTTTGTCTAAATATGGAAG